TTTTTACCAAATGATGTATTATGTTCATAATTCATTTGGAAGACTTGTATATGTAATTGTATGATGTATATGGTGGAAGGGTTTTCATACCTATTTGATAGTTTGATGTTGAGTCATTGAAATAGATCCATGGATGGATCAATGAAATAAGCCTTGAAATAGCTAGATATAGGTATGATAATTGTATCAAGTGGTTAATTAAGTACCACAAGGATTTAAGATGATATAATAAGATGTTGTCAAAATCTATGCTCTTTAGTCAGTACAAATTTATGAAAAACGTAACTCACTCAATTCTTAACCAAATGGGATGTGTGAGATATCTAATTAAATTTTAGTATGTCTACTTTCATGTCCTAAAAGATGTAATTTTTCTGAGTTAAAATGCATTCCCAATTTTTGAAAGAAAAGACATTGTCCGAAATTGAGATAGAATGGATAGATTCTGGCCTGTTTTGTAATAGTCATTACTCAGTCGTTCCTTAACCAAATGAGGCATATTATATATCAAATTAAATCCCCAGAAGTATAGTTTATTGTATTAAAGTTTTAGAAAATTTTGGGTAGTGAAACATTCCCAGTTTAATTCTGAGTTCGCTGTCCTACTTTTCGGTAGTCCGATTTCAAGCAATTGGTTTGCGGCGAACATATCTTGAGTTATACAGATCCAATTGAGGCTTGTGATATGCCATTAGAAAGCTCAAGAAATCTAGTTTAACATAATAAAAGCTCATAATTTATGGTAAAGAATTGCAGCCCTAGTTTTAGAAATTGTGAGGGCTATTTTGGTGTTGGATTGATTAAATGAGTGTAATGTAAGTTTATGAAGTAAACAAATTAAGCAAGAATGAACTAAATGGACTAGATTGCAATACACAAGGTGATGAAAAAAAGTTTATTCACGTTTTGGTTATAACTATTAGTAAATCATAAAGTTTTATAAAAATAATTTGCTAATTAAAATTAACTCAAAGCAATAAATCAAGATAAAGATAGAGAGAAATCGACACAATAGTTTTTACGTGGAAAACCTAAAAGGGAAAAAAACCATAGGCTCTAATATCGAATACTGAAATTCAACGGGCAACTCCACTATGAACCTTGTGTACAAAGAGTTCTCTAGTATCCTAGTTTCCTATTTTACCCCTTACACAAATTCCCACATGGTATCCTAGTTTCCCAATACGAAATCCTAACCCTTTACGATTCCAAAACCCTATCTCACAAGGGTTCTCAAGTCCCTCTCAATTTCCAAAAAAGAGAGAGATATGCTGGTATCTCAGTTTCCCAGCACAAGAACTGGTATCCAAGTTTTCCAATACAGGCCTTCCAAAAGGTCAAGAAGAAAATTACTATTAAAATGATTTACCTCAGTGCTTCTTTTCCTCAAGCAGATAGATAATCTGAATTCCTAGGGAGAAATATTCACTTTGCCAAAGAATGAATCTATGAATGTTCTTGAGAAAACTTTTCAATTGATGTGCAAGAATGATTGAAACCTAATCTTGAAAATCTAATTCTCTCTTTTCTCTTTTATATATTATTCTCTCTTCTCTCTCTTGTATTTTTCTCTCAATAAATATTGTATTTTCTCCACTAATGAATAATATGCAATGGGCCATATTTATAACATTTACTTTCTCCTGAAAGTCCAAAAGGTATAATATTTTCTAAAATCTAACCAAAAATCTTTTATCCTTAAATAAAATTTTAAATGCAATTTCCAAAAATATGATTTTTAAATAAAAAATATGTAAACCTTAAATATCTTAATCTATTATGTAATGCAATTATAGTCTAAATCTTTGGCAAAAAATATTTTATTTTTCTTACATGAAATCTAAAAAGATAAAATTTATCCTAAACTTTGCTTCATCCTATATTTTTCTCTTTCTTCATGATATTTTCCATATATTCTCCAATCTTTATGCAATCTTCAATTATTTGATCATATTTTTTCTCTCTCTCTTCATGATATCTTCCATATCTTCTCCAATCTTAATGCAATCTTCAATTATCTTGAATACTATTTTAAATCAGAATAAATATTATTATGAAATCTCAAACAATAAGCTCATTAGTAATTTCAAGACAATAAATATTATCAGTTAAATTAACATTAAATTGATTGTAATCAGCAAAACATATTTTAAATCAATTAAACAATTGGGGTATATAACAAGACGAATGATCTGTTTACATTTTTTTTTTACAAATTATACTAAGTATGATCGGTCATACACTATTGATTGAAGTATGACCGGTCAGCCATAGTGTAGTTTGTAAACAAAAAATTTGTAAATATAATCTTCCCCATATAACAAATATCCAACAGGTTTTATATTATTTTACATAGGGGTAGGATATTGTAACAATTAATTAGTGTTACTACCAATGTTACTGTACCAATCAATTTCACCGTTAAATCGATTATGTTGATCCAACGGTTATATTTATTTCCATCTTTATATGGTTATGATTCTCCATTAATGGGGAATCATAACCATACAAAGATAAAAATAAATATAAAGTATTAAATATAAAGAATCATAATCATACAAAGATGGAAATAAATATATCTGTTGGATCAACATAATCGATCTAATAGTGAAATTGGTTGATAATAACATTGGTAGTAAATTGTTATAATATCTTTTTCCTTTTACATATTCCTATACTTTGATTTTGTTACATCACTCAAAGTATAAGGTATTTTGATGTTCGTTTGATTCGTGCGCTATTCTTTCGGATGCTCTAAGAGCAAAAGCTTCAAACAGCTTTGTATAAATCAATGGACCATAATATTGTTTTTTGTTCCCTAAAAATTAGAGATATAATAAATAAAGGTGTCCAAATTTATCAAAGCATAATTGTTTCACACAATCATAATGATTATTCTTCGAGAATATAAGTTTATTCAAGCAGGGGCATAATGGAACCTGAGATGCTCCTAACCGAACGCATAAAGGTTTTGTGCTTTGGTTTTTCAAAAGTCACGCTTATCCTTCGTAACCACTAACCAATTAGACATTTTTCTACACCCCATTTGTGTAAAATATGAAATCAATTGTAGGTTGCAACCATGTCCACGAATATATTCTTATTCTGAATGAAGCATCATTTTATCAACGTAGAATTTAAAGGATACTGAAAAGCAACCATTTCACTTCACTTTATATTTCTTTATTATATTCCTTCACACAAATTTTTTTTGGTTTTGGAATATGAATATTATATTGACTTAATTTTATTAAAAAAAAAACGGTGAAAATCGAATTCATGCTGTAATCACGAAAGATTATGATATTTATAAAGATCTCTTTAATCCAAACAATTAGACATGTAAATTAAAACCTTTTAATGATTTTTATATTTCTTTATGCTCTTATACTTTGAAAAAATACCATGCTTTAAATTTAAATAACTTCGATCCCATCTTCAAACACAAAACCTAAACGATACCATGTTCAAAACAACCACAACACTGTGGTAACCGTTGAAGTGTGGAGTTAACTCAATCATGCTAGTTGGGAGGGAGAATTTTACCGAAACAAGCAAGGTTGACCTTTTGCTGCCGCTTATGTTTTCAAGGTTAAAATAATAAGAGGAGGAATATTTTAATTATCAAAAATTTTCACTCTGAATTTACTACCTATCTAATCATCATTAGATTAATATTTTTTCTCTTTTTAAATTTTTTTTATCATTCTTTCTCTTTGATCCAATAGTGATGTGATGAGTGATAAGTTAATTAGTAGTGAGACTTTTTGATAGTTAAAATATACTTAGTTTATTACAAAAAAATAAAAATAAAAATATACTTAGTTAAATAATAATTGACCCATCTAATCTTGAATTTCATTATGAGACTACTCACATGCCAACAAGTCAAAGTGCTGAATCGTGGTTACAATAGCTACGTTACTGTTATTGCGGTTGTAAACTGCCACCAGCACATTGGAGGTTGAATTATTTTAAAGATTGGCCCACTTGAAAGCAAAGTGTGGTGGTAGGTTAATTGATTATTGAAATTCAGTATTAAAACAAGGTATTGGATTTTTTTTTGGCTTGTGAGTCTAAAATGATGTTATTTTGAGACAGAAATTAAGGTATTTTTGTAAATGTAATATATTGCAGGGTTATATTAGTTTTTATCTTTATAATTTTTTAATCTTATCACCAAAAACGACTTCGTTTTGAGCTTACCAGAGATAACTTTATCTGTGATTAGAGAAATACTTTTTTCTTTAAAATATATTAATAACATATTTTTTATGCCTACGTTGTGTAAAGTACTTTTTGAGTCTCCAATAAAAATTATGGGACCTATTTTAATTTTTTAGAAAAAAAAATCGACTTATGCTCCTCACAAATTTAAAATAAATTCAGTTAGTTAAAATCGTAGTCTTCTGTAATTTAAAGAAGACCATGTTAGTCCATTAAAAGAACTAAGATAGATTTATTTTGAATTTAAGAGGATAAGTCCATCTTTTTTTATAAGGGATTATATTGGATTGCGTGATATGTGGTATTTGTTGAGAACTCAAAAATTATTTTATCTAATTTTTATATTTACTACAGTATACCTGAAAATCTAAATATAGGTATAAAAAAAGAAAAAATATTTTCTCATGTTGCATGAAAATTCAATTATCATGTTGTGATTCTTTAATTTACGTGCACAACTTTTTTTTTTTAATAAATATAGAGCCAACCACTAGTTGAGTCACAATATGAGAATTCAATTGTCAAAAAAATCAAACCTCCTAAAAAATATATATCTAAATATAGAAACTTGCCAAGTTTCATATATCCGCGTAGAGGTGTTGTCCGTGAAGATCAACATCAGCTGATCTGGCTTATACCGATGCCGACAACTTCCCACGCACGCCACGTGTACACTTTTTTTTATTAATTTAATAATCTAAAAATTCATTTTGATAATTAATTATATCGATGCTTTGCTTTCTTCTTCAGACAACTTCACTGTTCAATGACCCTCGACCGTTTCGTTTCATCTGCCCCACTTCTAGTATAAGGACAACAACGTGCGAGTGATTTTTTCGTTCTTTTTATTTATTTATTTAAGTTAATATTATTGAAATATTTGATATCTTTTGCGCTACCCGTTTTAGGGTAGTAGGACTGGTGAACTGAAGTTTTGGTAGTAGTGGAGAGAAATCTCGATCTGGGAGTGGATATAGGTGAAAGATCGAGTTTGAAGTTGGAACAAAGACTTGAATTTGAGATGGGTTTCTTAAGTACTATATTGGGGTTTATGGGATTTGGAGTTGGGATTTCCATTGGTCTTATTGCTGGCTATTTTCTCTTCATATACTTTCAACCAACCAATATTGAGGTATGTAGGATGCAGCATGATTCTTAACAAATTGAATCCCTTGTTTTATGCCCTGATGTTTGAGACTTTGAATTTGACTGTGTTCACTGATACTCTAATTGCTTGAACAGGATCCGAAAATCAAGCCATTGGTCGAGCGAGACTCAGAGACTTTGCAACGAATGCTTCCTGAGATTCCGCTTTGGATAAAAAATCCAGACTTTGATCGGGTAAGCAACTACCCAACTGATACATTTCTTATTTTTTTTCTTTCTTTTTTTGGCTTTAGGATTTGACTACTGAACTATTATTTGTTTGTGCTTTTCTGAAGCTTGATTGGCTTAACAGGTTTGTAGAATGTATGTGGCCTTATCTTGAAAAGGTATGTAATTTTGATATGCTTTAACCCTTCTCAATTGACATCTAACTTTTTTTCCTTCTCCTTGTTTGTTAGTTTGTTTGAGTATATGCTCTTGTTTTTTCTTTCCTCCTTATTTAGGCAATTTGTAAGACTGCGAAGGAGATTGCAAAACCCATAATTGCTGAGCAGATTCCAAAATATAAAATTGATTCTGTTGAGTTTGTAACGCTTACACTGGGGTCCCTGCCGCCAACTTTTCAAGGTTTGTATATCTGGAATTCTGGATATGATTCATTCTTGGATAAGAACCTTTTAGTTGTGTACACAGATACTTAGGAAATTGCCAGTGTTTTGTAAAATGAGTTTCTATTGTTAGGGATAGATATCACAATTCATTATTTATAAACAGATATTGCTAGTGTTGTTGGAGGTTATGGGTTTGAGAGAAAAGGGTTTAGAAATACTTGAAAGGCATCAGATTTGGAATGCCCAACAATGTTATCTCAAGTGTAGGAAAAGCCTAGAGATAATGCAAGCTATTAGCCTAAATGGGCCCAAATAACTATGCTTTCGCATATTGTGCTTGTATGTGGACATATTATTGGACTATATTATTAATATATCCAACAAGTGCTACTAAAGAAAATATGTGCCTTTTGGGATGGGAAACAAACCTACAGTTAGATTGGATGATTTGGAGAAAGAGCAAATGGCATCTACATAAAAAATCTTCTGATATGGCTCGTTTGCCACCATACCATACAACTATAATATCATGGGTTTTGTTGTTCTTAAATTAATATCCTCTCTTAAAATATTAAGGTTTGAAACTGAGATCCATAAGGGTTGTACTTTCCTTTAACTTGAACAGACAAGTTGGAAAACGGTTTCTGTTTAGAATTTTTTGAAGACTTGATGTATTGTATGATACATTTCCCCATAAGATCTTCATTTGGATTTTACTTGTTATGTGTGAGGCAGTCGTGAAAGTCTTAAAGGTTACTCTTTTATCTGTTCATCTCTGCTCAAAAAGGGTTATTTCTTCTTTTTGGTATTTTATACATGTGATTTTTTATGTCTCCATGACTTACTTATGATGTCATATGAATATTCATAATACTTTTTGCTAAATGCATATTCATAGGAATGAAAGTTTATGTGACTGATGAGAAGGAGTTAATTATGGAGCCATCTATAAAATGGGCTGGAAATCCTAATGTCACCCTTGCTGTTAAGGCATTTGGATTGAAAGCAACCATTCAGGTAATTTTTCTCTGTGTATGCATATTAGTAGAGAGAGGATAGATAATTTTTATTTATTTATTTATTTTCTTCATGCTAAGAGTTCGGCATCTTTTCAGATTGTGGATTTGCAAGTTTTTCTTTCGCCTCGTATTACTTTGAAGCCTTTGGTTCCTAGCTTTCCTTGCTTTGCCAACATCTACGTCTCTCTCATGGAAAAGGTTAGTGAATGTTGGGTGTATTACTTCCCCCTACCCACTTTGCTTGCCCACTTGAATATGTAATAAAAGACATAAAGAGTAGAGTATTTGATAGCATTTTTATGGCTGTAGTGTAGTCAATTGTAACAATGTTTAAGAGCATTTTCCAACACCAAAGGAGTAGTTTCTCGTTGGAATTAATGTTGATAGAAACCACTAACTGGATGATGGAAAATTCAATTCTTATTTAGAAGGAGGAGCTGGGATAGGCCTTTCATTCTGACCTATTTATATATAATTCACTGCATGGTCTTCCTATCGAAATGCTTAAATTCAGGATATACCTCCGTCTTCTTATGTTGCATGTATATTTGGATTGCTACTTTGTCCCATAATGTCTTGAAAGTTTTAAGAATGTAGTTTACTATACCAATAATTGTTTTTAGGAATATTATAATGGTATTAAGGATCACTTACATCTGGAAATCACAACTCCCTATTTTGACATAATTTAAGTGACATGTCACCTATGCACTTAGCATGTTTAGGATTAAAAAAACTCATCAGAGTCATTGGTGTATAAACATTTTAAAACTGAAATGGGACTTCCAAAATCTTTTGAGGCTCATGGATTACGGTAGTGATGATCAATTATCAAGCTTTGAGTTGTTGTCAACAAGGGGATCGTGTTCAAATAACTTTTGTTTTCCTCCCTTATTAATAATCTAACAACTTCAAATATGATTATGATTGTTCTTTTTTTGGGTGGTTTCTTCCGTATATCATTGTGTAAATGATTTTTGGTTGTAGGCATACTTTAGTTGATGCTTATGATGATAATATCTGGAGTTATTATTGCCATTTTATGATCTTTGATGATGTTGAACTTCTAACCTTTTTCTTCCTCTTTATACATAATTAATTTGTTATTTGATTTTATTCTGTATGCTTGAGGAAACTTTGGTACTGCATGCCCCAGATTGATATCCACTTGTAATTATTTATGCTTTTATGTGTGGTACTTATATTCTCTAACTCCCTCTCTCTCTGTTTTTGGTGTATGTTATCTTGCAGCCACATGTTGACTTTGGGCTAAAGCTTATAGGGGCTGATCTTATGTCTATTCCTGGCGTCTACAGGGTTGTTCAGGTATAAGAAAGTATCTTTTTGATATGTTGTTTGTTTCCCCCCTCCTTTTCTCCTATCTTAATGTTTGAGGTCTAAAGTTGCTCATATTCATCCACTCTAAGTGGATGATCTAGTCATTGCCCTGCATATTAGACAATCTTCCCTGTGATAGAAATGAACCATTGTTTGCTAAAATGCATCTTATTTTGAAACGTGTGATACTCTCAGCACAGACTGTTGATTTGTGTATGCACTGTTTTATGCACAAAACATCTTGCTTGCAGAAGGATGGGAGAATTATCATCAAACAATTTCTTGCTTCAAGCTGGAGTTGCTGTATGTTCATGACAGATAGAAATTTGATTGCTAACGAAATAATGACTGACATGTTAGTAATTGAATTGACATGTATAATATTGATGTGAACATGATGGAATAGGAAATGTTATGTAGATGTCCGAGTCTCTGAGATTAAATGGTTTGTGGGATTGTTAGGTGTTACTTTACAGTTCTTTGAGGGTATAATTGTAGGGTCTTCTAGAAGATTAAAGTGGTCCTGTGTTGTCATTTGGGTGGTGTTGTTACCCTATTTGCTAGAAGCATGCCTTTAGTTTGATCGGACTCATCTGTTGGATTGAAATATTTTGATGGCTATATTAATATTAAATGCCTCTCATTCTCTCTATTATCCTACCTTCTTTAATGGAGTTTTATTATTACGGAATAAAGTGAACAGGGAAAATCATGATAATATTATGTAGCACATATATAACATATTCTTTGGTCTGGGGTACATTCGTGGTTTATGGCTGATAATGAAGCCAACAATTATCATTTGTTACATATCCATGTTTTCGTTATTGTCCTTAGCTAGTATTGGTATTGAAGGGTTTATGGCTTTTAAACTAATTTAAAGAGTGTTGTCTACAGGAGCTTATCAAAGATCAGGTAGCAAACATGTACCTGTGGCCCAAAACCCTAGAAGTTCAAATTATGGATCTGACGAAGTATGTTTCTTCATTTTTCTAAAATATTTGTCATAATATAATGGCATATTGTGTATAACTCCTTTCGGTTTTTTCTTGTGAATTTTATTGGGAATCTTAGAGCCTTTAAGAGGCCTGTTGGAGTGTTACATGTAAAGGTTCTGAATGCTATGAAGTTAAAGAAGAAAGATCTTCTTGGTGCATCTGACCCTTATGTGAAGCTAAAGCTTACTGAGGATAAGTTGCCATCGAAAAAGACTACTGTGAAGCACAAGAACTTAAATCCTGAATGGAATGAAGAATTTAATTTGGTTGTTAAAGATCCAGAGACCCAGGTTTTAGAGATTAATGTTTATGACTGGGAGCAGGTGTGCCTCTTGAGCTGAAAGTTTTGTCTTCTAGTTTCTTCTTGTGATATCTGGACTGAATGTTGTTTTTGTTTCTTTGATTAGGTTGGGAAACATGACAAGATGGGCATGAATGTGATACCTTTAAAAGAACTTTCCCCTGAGGAGCCTAAACGTTTTACGCTTGACCTCCTAAAAAATATGGATACCAATGATGTCCAAAATGAGAAGTCACGTGGGCAGATTGTTTTAGAATTGACATATAAACCCACCAAGGAGGAGGATTTGGCCAAGGGTTTTGAAGAGACACAGACAGTACCAAAAGCTCCTGAAGGTACTCCAGCTAATGGAGGTCAGCTTGCAGTTATAGTCCATGAAGCTCAAGATGTTGAAGGAAAGTACCACACCAATCCAACTGCACGTCTCATTTTCAGAGGGGAGGAGAAAAAGACTAAGGTAAAGGATCCCAAGAAAAACTTGCATTCTACCTTTTTTTTTTCTTCTGGATTAAATGAAATAGCGGGCTCCGTAACTTTTTCCCCTGGAAGATAGAGAAAAACTTCTTTATAGGCTGGGGTTTTAATATGCCTCAATGAGTTCTTAACAAGTCTATTTTATGGAGCATGATATCCTTTGGAATCTTGCAATCAAACATATTATAGTTTAACCATTCTACACAGCGTATAGTATTGTTTTATTAGGTTAATGGATTGCTCGTACAACTGGTGTATGATGATGTGGTTGGTGTGATCTGGTGAATTTTTTATGTCTTCACTTAAGAAGCAAATTTCTTTTTGGTTATACCTTAAAATAGAAAACAAGAGAATGGGATGTAGGTGCAGATGTCATAGAAAAAAATGGATTGGAATGGTACATGTACATTACATTCAGGTGGAAATTGGTTTTTGTATTGAATGCTTATGGTACTGTGGTTACTATTGCAGCGCATTAAAAAGAACAGAGATCCAAGATGGGAAGAAGAGTTCCATTTTATGGCAGAGGAGCCTCCCACTAAGGACAAGTTACATGTGGAGGTTGTCAGCATTTCATCACGAAACCTGCTCCATCAAAAGGTACATAATTCATAAAACTTACACAGTTCTGAATCATGTAATGCATTATTATTTATATGAAACTAAAACCTATTCAGAGTCTATGTCATGTGCTAAAGTGAAAAGCCTCAAATTGTTAAAAAGAGTAAAAGTACTTATGGAATCTGCACTGACATTTAATGAATCCAAATGTAAAAAATGTAGGCTAAATTATACAGAAAGTACGTTTAGCTATGGGCCATGTGATGTGCAACTTACCCGCTTATGCTTCCAGTTAAATCAATTTACTGACAACATGCTTGCAGTTATCTATTTTAATGGAAGCTTAATAGGTATGATTTGTACAATCTTATGTGTTTAGAAGTCTAACAGCCTTAATTCAAATCATAAAAAGTAAATCACACGTCTTGAAGTTAAAGGGGAGTTCTATATAATTTAGCCAAAGACAGATGATGGTATTCATGTTTCTACATTCTATGCGTATGAAGTTGACTTCATTAGTTCAGAGGAACATTATTTTGATTTTGCGGGAGTTAGGGAGAGGATCTTTGCTTTTCTGTGCGGTTTATTGGAGAAGTGTTATCAATCAAACTACACACACACCTTCTGCTTTTGTATGCTTTATGGAGCATCTTTGTTTCCGAAAAGTGTTTCTTGGATTTTGCCTTTCATTGCTAAAATACAAATTTATATGCTCAAACATGTCGACTTTCTTTTAAAACTTGATTCCTAACTTGCATGAATATGTTCTTTTAAAACAAAGTGCTTTGCCCTGAAAATAAGCCCAAAGGTTTGTTTTTTCCTTTATGCCATTTGAAATGATTGAGTTTCTCCTTTTGGCAATAGGAATCATTGGGTTATATCGACATCAATCTTGGGGATGTTGTTTCTAACAAAAGAATCAATGAGAAGTACAATCTTATAGACTCCAAGAATGGTCGCATCCAGATAGAGTTGCAGTGGAGAACTCCATAATCAGAGTGATAAAATTATTCATAGATCTCTACTTCTGATTCCCTTTTCTTCCCCCCTCTTCTCTTTTAAAATTGACACTTAAATGCAAAAAATGTAAGGGATAAGTGAGAAGTGCATTTCTTGCATTCTTCTCGAGGTAGATTGGTTTCATCTGCCAATCATGTACATGCTTGAGATAAAAAGGTTTGAAAATAGCAAAAGCATAGTTATGATTGGTTTTAATATATAACATTATATGATATGATTCAAGACGACCTATAGCGACGTTGTGGACGGTCTATTTTGTTCCACTTTTAGAGTTAATTCTCGTCATTTCTATTCGATGCTTGGATTTGCAGCTTGAACCATAATGTCATGTGAATCATCAGGTGGCCATGAAACATTCGCATTTTAATTTTTAGTAGTATCTCATGCCCGTTACTTTATAGTTTTTTTCGAGAGATTATACTTATTTCTTCTTTAAAATTTCTTCATCCTACCCTTCTATTTTGAGCTTGCATTTCTTCCTTTCTGTTTATATTTAATCTTCCAAATATAATCGATATAAATGTAAAGTGATATTCTGGAAATTTTTTTTTTCTAAAAAAGTAAAACAGTATCACAAGTAAGAATATCTTTTACAAAGTATAATAACAAAATAAAGGGCTTCTTTGATAAATAAATTCTTAGCATCAAAATTTCGGCGATGAAAATTTAACTATTGAATTTATAGTTTCCAAAGAAAGTTATTTTAAGTGCGAAAGTTCTATTATAGAAAACAGTTAGTGTTAAATATGGTATGAAACTATAGTTACAGAAATTATTTTTATTTATTTTTGTTAAAATAAATAAAAATATATTTTTGTTAAAATATATTTTTGGCAATTTTATATAGATGACATTCATTTTAAATTGAGTTTCTATATACTGCTTTCTATTCGGTCATTGTCATTTATTGCCATTATAATTTATAATAACAGAGTTGAATTAAATAACACAATAAAATGAATGGATTAAATTAAAAATAAGTGATATTTGTAAAAAGTATTATATTTTTAATTTCTTTACATAACAATTATTTTTAATTAAATCTTTATATTTTCATAATATTAAACGAAAACTCGCGTCGATGAGTATTAAAATGATCGTACAGGATTAATTAAAAAAATCTATACAAAAATTGAATTAAAAAATAAATATATTTTTAGGCACTAAAAATACATTTAAATTATTTTTCTATTATAGATAAGGGCTTTATTAATCTCATGCAATCGGAGAGAGCTCTCTCATGCTATACAGACAATCATGTGTGGGACCCACCCACTTATAGAAAAAGAAAAAAAATAAAAAAATAACAGGAAAATCGATGTATGTGTAGGGGATAAAAATACTCTCCTATAACATAAGAGTATATTTTCCCTATAGAAAATTGTTTGATAAGTTGTTGTCACAAGGCATGTGGCCCAATAAGGTAATGCCACGTGGCAAGAGAGGAGTGGGTAAGCCATGTAAATAGAAGCGAGCACCAACCACCCACCCCTCCAATTATCCATTCACAGTTGCAGTGCAGTGCAGTGCAGAGGAGTGGTGTTTGGTTTTCCCTTTCCGCCAATCGAAATCCGTTATTCATTCTGTTGAGAATGGCGTTACCGGTGGTGGTCGACGCTGAATACCTCAAGGAGGTTGACAAGGCTCGCCGCGATCTCCGCGCACTCATCGCCAACAGAAACTGCGCTCCTCTCATGGTTCGCTTGGCGTATGTTCTTCTCTCTCTCTTTTTCATTCTTTCTTCAATCAAACAATTGCTGTTGATGCTCGATTTCAACTTTTTCGCTACTTCTCTTGCTTAATTTTTCGTTTCATACCCGGTCAACGCTACGATCGTGTAATTTTTTTTTTCCGTGTTTGAATTTGCTTAATCTGATGCAGTTGGCACGATGCGGGAACTTACGATGCCAAGACCAAGACCGGTGGACCTAATGGTTCCATCAGGAACGAGGAAGAGTATTCTCATGGCGCTAATAGTGGCTTGAAGAAGGCTATTGATTTCTGTGGTAAGCTTTTTCTTAATTCATTCACTTTTATCTTTTCCCTAAAATTACCGTTAGGTAGGTAGTATATTTGTGCGTATAATTTGTAATACTCCATGCTTTTCTTTGTGCGTATAATTTGTACTACTCCATGTTTTTCTTTGTGTTATTTGAGTATTTAATTAACAAGAAGACATATAGGCCTGAATTTGACTTATATTCTGTCATGGTCATGCCTTGTGTTAGAATAGAATCTATTTGAATTTCGAATTATTTGCATCTTTTACTAAGTTTTTGGCGAAAGTAGAATCGTTGGCTGGAACTATGTCGGTCTTTCTGAGAGTTGTCTTATTTTCTGATTTCACAGAGGAAGTGAAGGCAAAACATCCTAAGATTACGTATGCAGACCTTTACCAGGTGATCATTTGTCTTCATTCAGTTGTTATGAAAATCTATAATGAATTAATAATTTTGTACTGAATTCGTTAGATGGAAATTGTAGAATGGAGTCAATGGACTTTCAATTTTGTCTGGAGTGTGCGCGATGATGATAATGTAAATTTCTATATCATGGTGTTCTGTCCTGAAGACAAAGATGTCTAGTCCAATACTGATTTTTTTATGTTGGATCTATGGGCTCTCTCATATATCTATGAATTAGATATCTTTGAGGTAGCATATCACTGTGTATTGAGTAGTGGCATTGCCAAAGGGGTGTTGTGTGTGCACAGTGATAGCATAACATTAAGAAAGAAAATGTGTCCATAACTGTAGGATTTACCTCTTATTTATAGGATTTAGCTGTGGGTAGTGGATTTCTGGACCTTTGCGGGCTCTTCTGAGAGTCCATGTCCAGATTCATTGCTATCGCATTAGGATTTGCATCCTTGATTGATACTTTCCTTTATCTGCTTTAGTTTCCTTTTTCCATTGCCCTTTCTTGGGCCTTTTAGAATATGGGCCTCTTATACAGGCCCATAACACATGGTTATTTCGGGGTTCCATTTTCTACAACTTGCGACTCAAATTCTTCTTTTTCTACAATGTTTATTGTTGTCAAATCTCATATGGATGCCGTGCTTAGGTTTTTGCTTAGTGTTAGGTTGAATTCGTTCATCCAATTCTTGTTCCTTTTTTGTTACTTGATCATGATTGAATTTCAGTATTAGGTGGATGAATGAATCTTAAATTTACAGATTTGACATAACCAGAGTTGTAGTGTCCTGTTTCACTTAAGCCCCATGCTCTCATGATGTTTGACAACTCCGACCTTTAATTATTGAAGACTACAATTGCAAAGCGATTCACAAGCTTGCTTAATTAATCAGCTTGTCTGGGCTGTGTTGTTCGTTTTCTCTCTGCTCTCTTTTAGGATGATATTTTACCTTCTTTTTTGTCCTTGTTTATCTCCAGTGTCTAAGAAATTCCCTTTTCTATCCAAAAACTAAAAGGATTGCTTGTTCTATTTAAGGTAGATACAGCCTTGCTTGTCTTGGCCTAATACCTCACGAGGCTTTAAGGTTTTTGACAAAGTTGTCAAGGGTTATGCCTTAAATTTGGATAAGGGGACTATCTGTGATGAACCATTAGAAAACGTAACTTTTTCATTCCTTTGCAAACTTTCAGTTTCTGAAATATTTGTTTGGTTATTTGCTTTATGTGATTTGGGAGCGTATGAATTTGTACTATATAAAGATAAAGATTACTACGGCACCTTATTCCCTTTAACAAATTTTGGCAACGTCCTGTCTCTCAATATTTAAATGACACTGATGACTAGTTTCATACTACCCACAAACCTTTCTCACTGGGCACAAAAGGAGGGGAAAAAACCCTCAAGAGATTTCTGGATAGCTAAATCAACTTTGGAGTAAGTGAAGAAGTACACGTGAAGGTTGATAGTTAAGAATGTACAAGAGTAAAGTTGAAGCTCAAACTCCTTGGGTTAGTTAATGGAGTGGTTTTAAGTTTTAACAGCTTAAGAATTTACCCGGCTGAGGTCCACTTCTTTTGTAACTACTAACTAGTGTTTGAGGTTGAACACCATTAGATTTTTTATACACTAATGTTAGAAGTTTTCAAATGTCGGCAATTTTATTTTTTGATAATCAAAATTTCGCTTAAAATTACTGTATTAATTTCTATCAGAATTAAGACATTTTACTGCATTTCCTCTATACCGCATACAAACCGATTAAATCAGTGCACATTGAGTCCAGATTCTATTGTAACATAAAGGGAGGGAGGATTACCACTGTGTGTAACGCATGCCTTGTCTAAAACAATATATGCATTCGTAAGTGAATTGAACGACCATATAGATTATGTGAATCTGAATAGAAATCATTTCTTTCTGTTTGTGCTTCCAGCTCGCAGGTGTTGTTGCAGTTGAGGTTACTGGGGGTCCCACAATTGACTTTGTTCCTGGAAGAAGGGTATGTTGTGAAATAACTTTAGTTAGAATAATTGTTATGTAGTCACCGAATCTTGCTAGTTCATGTAATTTTCTATCTCACGTAGGATTCAAAAATATCTACCAAAGAAGGGCGGCTTCCTGATGCTAAACAAGGTGAGTTTCAAATTTTTGTCAGTGTTATAACTATTCCCTTCAATTGGGCTGGATAAATATCTTACTAGAGCCGTGACAGGTTTTGTGTTTTGTGTTTAAAATTTTAAGCTTGCTAATTCACCATCAACATGGTTAAGAATGTTATATATGAAAGCATTAAAATATGTCAATGCTGTTGGTAGGTGTCCCACATCTCCGTGATATTTTTTTTCGAATGGGCTTGTCTGACAAGGATATTGTTGCACTATCTGGTGCACATACACTGGTGATTCTCCTTTTTTATATATCTTTTTATTACTTGATATTGTTATGGCTAGATATTCTTATTTTGTTATCTGTGGTGTTATAAGGGAAGAGCACATCCAGAGAGATCTGGTTTTGATGGCCCTTGGACAGAGGATCCTCTGAAGTTTGATAACTCATACTTTGTGTAAGACTTACGTTGTGTGCAATACTACTCACTTTTACCTTCCTACAAGGAGTTTGTAGAGCTTCATTTTTGCCTCCCAAAATGGAAAGGGCTTGATTTTTATCTACAGCTAAATATCGTTAATATCAGGGAACTTTTAAAAGAAGAATCCGCCGGGCTGCTTAAACTTCCAACAGACGTGGCTTTATTGGATGATCCTGAATTTCGCCGTTATGTTGAGCTGTATGCGAAGGTAATGGGGATTGTTTAATTCAAATGACCATTACATAATCCCTATCTGAAAATAATTTGGTGCCGGGTCCTGTCAATTAATGTTTTCCAATAGCATTCATTTAAAGTCTACCTGTTTGCTATAAACGCCATGAAGCTTGTAGGCTTGTTGCATTAAACATTAGATCGGTCTTTTGGCCTGAGCTGATTGCAATAAGTAGCAATTGATTAGTAGTACCCTTCTTCCCCATAAGCATTATGCTTTGGAATTTACTAGGCTATCTGCGGCTATCTTGACGCTTTATAAGTTAAAATGGTATTTCCCTCTTATGCTAGTTGGGTGGCCAAACCAACAAATTGACTTTCTTATTTAATATGTCATATCGTCTCTTTCTCCATTGGTTGGTCAGGCTTTAATAAAGCTTCTTACTCTGCCAAACAACTGACCGTACCTTGGTCTTGTTTTCCTTCTCTATAGACTAATGATGTTAATGTCTGCGGTAAACTAAACAACGTGCCTATTAGAATTTACTGGTATCTGATGTCTGATATTTTTAAACTCTGTCCCTCTGGCAGAACGAGGATGCATTTTTCCGAGATTATGCTGAATCGCATAAGAAACTTTCAGAGCTAGGCTTTGTGCCAAGTTCAAAAGCGACTTCTCCTAAGGATGGGACCATACTGGCACAAGGTGCTGTTGGAATTGTAGTTACAGCTGCTGTGGTGATCCTCAGTTACTTGTACGAAGTTCGCAAAAGAGGGAAGTAGACGTGGATTTGTTCATCTCTCTTGGATGTTGCGTTTGTTGAAACCCATAATGAGCAGTATTGGGTTCGTTTTTGCAGTTTCTGTTCCTGTTTTCTTAGTAACCAATAAGAATAATGTCACTGCCATTATGAGTATATGAATAGACTAAAAATACAACTGAATGCTCCATTTGAGATCTACTTTTTAGTATGTAAATACAATCTTCAATAGTCCCAGTTACACGTTCTTGTACTCTGAAATATTAGAAAAGGAGGCTAGACATGCTCAAAGAGACTAACATAATGTGTATATGTTATGCTCGAGCAAATCAGAGCTATGAAATCTGGGGAACATAATCTGGACTAGTTACTTTGTGCCCGAAGTTCGATGATCACTTTATGCCTTTACCTCAGCTCTGTGGCATGCTCTTAGTTAGAACATACTGTACTAGCCTAGAGGACTCTTATCCAAGTTTTACCAGTGAAACTTTAAATACTGGATTACTAATAAATGTGCATCACTTATGTTGCACATGTATGCTTGTATATCCAACCAAAACAGGAGAACCAGTATTTTTAACAATAGTTCATCCAAGCATGTATTGAATATAACGAAGGTATAATACAAGGTGGTACGGTTAACTATTATAGTTCAGCACAAGTATGAGCAATCGGGGATTGGAGGGCTATTTTAGTTTTTTTTTTTTTTTTGAAAAAGTGTGTTTCATTTTAAAGGATACAAAGTTGTGTCATTTTAAGTGAGAGAAAGAGATAAATCATGAGAGAGAATGAATGTAATTTTTTTTAAAGGTGTGGGTCCTACCTCTTTGTGAGAGTGAAAGTATATAAGATGTGTTATTTAAAACATTTTTTTTCCTTTTTTTGTTTTGTTTTTTTTTTTTACTTTTTTATGAGGAAAGATATCGCTGGCCAAACATCAGAGATGATGCTTGTTATGGCAAATACCAATTCAAACTAGATGATTCCTTTTCCTTTGAATGGTTTTTTTTATGAAGATTCAGCTGGTCTTCCTCTCAGTCTATTACCTCATCTCATCCATTATAATCCGGTAGTAGGCTGGGGGACAATCTGTCTTATTTAAATAGGAAACAAATGAAAAGAGGTAAAAGGAAAGAGAAGGAAGACCTTAATAACGTTAGAAAGAGGTTGAGATAGATCTGTATCTGCAGTTGGTGTCTGCCATTAATGCTACAAAACTAGAAGAACAATAAAAATTCTATTTTGCGAGCAAAGTTATTCTTAAATCTTGAATAATGGCTTTCAAATCTTATCCACCGTATAGAATATAGACATAGCAGAAAGGGTTCAAGTTCAGGAAGACGCACATGTGGAGGACAGCCGAAGAGGTAGGTAAGGGCTCTTAGGACAGCCTCCTACGAGTACCTAAGCACATGATAAACTCGTGTTGATGTGCTGGCTGTCACTATACAGAAACAATCATGTAAATGCAAATCACACGCTACAGTTTCTTTTTTGCTATGCATGAGCTGAGTCCTTTTTATAAATTTTAATCCTTTTCAATTTTTTTGATTTTCCCATGTGGGTGGTGTCTAAATTTGGGATGCAAGAGCAAGACTAATTGGGGAGAGAAGCCCTTAGGTTGCTCCTTCTTTTAGGGTTAGCTAAGAAGGTCATTTGAGGCTGATCTTTTGTAATAATTACACTCAACTGATAGCGACCATATGGGTCATGCTCAATTTATTGATGTGTGCAGTTACGCGTTTCATCCATCGTTTATTATTGGTAACTTTAGTATTATACGCACATTGCATCTTTTGCGTACCCTACGCAATAGAGTTAGGTGGTATTGTTGCCTCACCGAATAAAATATCATAAAAGAAATGCAATTATATGCTCATGATCTTAGTTGAATTGTTCATTCTCTTTAAAAGCAAATGGAAAGAGGAAATTTCTTTTGCACACTAACACAAGTGGTTTGTGAAATTTAGGTTTCAAAGTGAATGCGGTTAAAATGAGATGTTGTCATGAATGAATATAAGGAGAGAAGTTGTGTGTGTATGTTCAAATAAAATTCGCTAAAAAAGTTGGTTTTAAAAGTACAAAAACTTGGTTAGTTAGGTGGGAGTGATACTGTGCATCATGCCATTATGCCATAGTTCAACATATAACTGAGGGAGGATTTGGACTATAATTGCAAGTGCAGTCAGAAAAAGAGTGGAAAGGTGGGTGAAATACTCCTAAATAATTACCCAAGTGGACTGAATCTTTTCCCCACTCTTGTGCTCTCCCTCCTTGAAAGCAACTTGTGCCCATGAATATTAACTCTTACCATCCACTTGACATTCATAGGGAAGGAGAAAGAGAGTGAATATTGTGCGGTGATGGATGATGACAACTATGATATTATGTAATTGTGGGGAGAAGATGACAACAAAAAGGTGAATGAAGCCCCCCAATCCCAACCTTTCCCTTGCTACCTTTCCTAAACTTGCACCACAAGGTTTGGGGGAAAAGAAAAATGAAAAGTGGAAGGTGAACCAAAGCCCATATACAACCACAACCACAACCACACTCATTTGGCATTTCCTATTCTCCCCTTCTCTTATTTCAACATCCTTCCTTGATCCCTGCCTCCAATACTTCTAGAAACCTGTCTATCTCTCTCTCTCTCTCAAGCATATGATAATGCACCAATAGAATAAAGAACCTCAACTACCATTACCATACATGAAAAACCAACTACTGATGCACTTCTTTCAGGGAATTGCCAATTGCAACTAACTTACCGAAATAGCTAATTTTTTTTTTTAGGGAAACAAAACCAACATGAAGCTCTTATGTTTAAGGCATGGTATTGGTATTTGGTAGGTTATTCATATGTAATTGTGCATATATTAGTTATTGCAACACTGGGTGGTGATTTTCAGAGCAAGTAAAAATAAAACTAGTGAAGACTTGTGACGTTCCGGAATATCCATATGTTTGCCCAACTATTATTAGAGGATTTCAAAATTATGCTTACAAGATATGAGAATCATTGAATGATCAAATAAATGCTGAAACTTTCAGCTGGTCGAAAGAACATTGTACCATCTTGATTGTAGATATGAAACTCTTCGCAATAATAATTAGAAAAAAAAAAAAAGAGTTAAGAAAGATGAGAGGTTGTAACATTCTAACATGATAATAAAAATCAAATTCAAATGTGTTCAGGTAGTTAGTTCCTGGCATCGTGCTAATTAAGTCAATTCTCAAAACTTTAAACAAATTCCATTGATCGATCACATGCACTGTAAATGAAATAGTCTTTTCTTTGATTATAAAATAGATCAAATACAGAGATACCTTACTCCTTACATAACTACAGCTTGACATTTTTATTCAGCAATTATTGAAGAAAGAATTGGGGGTAAAAGCGTATGAGATATAAATTATGTTTCTCTTTTTCTAAAAAGGAGAAAGAGATCACATCTTGTCTTTGCCTTGCCCATAAAATATATTCTACTTTACACCAACCTGAAGGTTACCCATTGTTAGTGCCTTTGAACTTATTATATCATAGACGCAAATATAGTATAAATATATCATCACAGAGAGAGAGAGACAACAGCCACTCCTTTAACCTGTCTCACCAACTCACATCTAGAAGCAATTAGGGTCATTGCTTCTCTCTCTCTCTCTCTCTATCTCTCTGTCCACCTCTCTCCCTTTGGGTCAAAAGCCTATAAAAATCACACCCCAACCGCTTCCTAGGCCGGCTTTGTTGCTACAGCAACACAAGAAACAACATCAGAGACATAGACACAGACACAGAGGTTCCCCTATTCGAATTGCAAGCCAATCCAATCCAATCCTACCATACAATATTTCTGGTTATAAAGAAGTAGAGGAACTCAATTGAAATCTCTTTGAGAAAGTGAAGTAGTGATCAAATATGGGAAGGTCCCCTTGTTGTGAGAAAGCTCACACAAACAAAGGTGCATGGACCAAAGAAGAAGATGATAGACTCATATCTTATATTAGAGCTCATGGTGAGGGTTGCTGGCGTTCTCTCCCCAAAGCCGCTGGCCTTCTCCGATGCGGCAAGAGTTGCCGTCTCCGGTGGATCAACTATCTCCGTCCTGACCTCAAACGAGGAAACTTCACAGAAGAAGAAGATGAACTCATCATCAAACTCCATAGTCTCCTTGGTAACAAGTAAGCTCAAAAAATCAAACTTTATATCTATGAGTATGACTATCATATAATCATTAATAATGAATAATCATAAAGTTTTTCACTTTTCACTTCAATATCTTAATTAAAGTATTGTCCTTATAGGTGGTCTCTGATAGCTGGAAGATTGCCAGGGAGAACAGACAATGAGATAAAGAATTACTGGAACACTCATATAAGAAGGAAGCTTTTGAACAGAGGAATTGACCCTACAACTCATAGGCATCTTAATGAGGCTGTTCATGCTCAGAATCAAGAAGCTGTTTCTGTTTCTGCTGCTGCAACAACAACTATATCTTTTGCTTCATCTGGTAAACAAGAACAACAAGAGACAAATAGTACTAGTAACGCAAGCGTGCTTAAAGGGTCAATCTTAGAACGTTGCCCTGATTTGAACCTTGAGTTAACCATTAGTCCACCACGTCAACATCAGATTGATCAGCCATTCAAGAGCATGGAGAGAAGCCTTTGTTTTGTTTGCAGTTTGGGTTTGCAGAACAGCAAGGATTGTAGCTGTGGGATTGGTAACGTTGGCAACACTAGTAGTAGTAGTGGCAACACCAACGCCACTGCTGCTGCTTATGATTTCTTGGGCTTGAAAACTGATGTTTGGGATTACACAAGTTTGGAAATGAAATGAAAAGGGTTAATGCCAATGGGGTCATTTCTCAGAAATATCTTATGTTGGAGAGAATGAAACTCGTTAATTTTGAAGTCTCTCTCTCTCTCTTAATTTTATTTTCTTCTCTAATTTGTATAAATAATTAGTTGCTGATGCATAAGATATATAGGACTATTAGCAGTACAGTTCATCATTATTGGACAATTTTTGCCTTTATTTTTTTTTTTTGTTTCTTTCATCTAATTCTTCCTGTTTTTTCTTTTTCTTCTTTTTTATGGTCTAAATTTTCTTTATTTGTGAATCTGCAAATAATGGTAGTATTTTAAGGTATCATGAATTCGATTTTGTGCTTCATGTATGAGTTTTACAATTTTTAATTTTATCAACAGGAGTCGATCTTTCCAATTGGAATGAGTAATGACAGCTCTTTTAATTATACTTTACTGCATAAATTCAATAATTTATCTGCAGCGTCACATTCCAAGTCATTGTTATTTGTCTTTGAATTATTTAATTTATTAATTAATGAGTTGATTTATACCCTGGGCTTCAGCTAGCCAGGTTTTGGGTATATAATTATTCGAAGCCTCACATGCTTCCATTAAACAATTTTGCTACAAATCCTCACTCCCCCAGTTACTCTAAAATTCTTGTTGGTCCTCGCTAGCTACTAATTCTCTTTTCTATATTTTGTTTCTCTCATAATGAATATTGTATATATGCATTCATACCTCTAACTCTAATATTTTAGACCACTAAACCTGAGAATTATGATCTTTATTTACCTCTTTTTCTTCCACATTGAAAAATCTATTTAGATGGACTTTTGGTGTTGTCTTTTATGGAGAAAAATAAAAAGAGAAAAGAGTTGATGGCTATATTCATGTAAGAGTGAATGGATAAGCTGTGAGAGGAGGAGAAATTATTTAGATGGAATGACAATAACTAATTTTTAAATTTATTTTATCTTAATACACTTATGCTCTAATCTTATAAATATGTGTCTTATCGTACAAAAAAAGAAAAAAAGAAGAAGGTATGATTCTTAATTTTATATGTCCTCGTTTCCACTCAATCTCTCATAGTAATAGTAATAGCTAGTCGAACAACATATAAAGTACTGATACAGACTAGACTATCTAAAACGCGTGAATGAACAAACATTATCCATGTAGTACCACATGCATCATTCTACCAACCTCCTAACATTTAATTATATAGGTGCTGCTCCAACTACCTTCTTATCTATGGAATGTGGAATGTATATATATATATGAACCTACCTAGGTTTTTCCATTCTTTCTTTAACCTTACAGAGATCAACTATCCACTATGCTCTTCTATATTTGTTGATATGTTCGGCATGAGCAAGCCTTCACACCATATAACATTTACAATTAAGTTTGAGAAATGACAAAAAAAAGAAAAGAAAAGAAGATAAAAACCCAGGAACCCTCAAATTGTATTCACTAAGCAAAGCACCCTAGTATCACATATCCCTAGGTGGTGTTTGGTTGAGGAGAAATTTTTATGAATCATAAGAAAATGTGATTAGTAAGAAAATAGTTGGAAAGTGAGTTTGATAGGAAAATGTAAAAATAGTTGTTTGGTTGAGAACAATTTTATCGGAGAAATTAGGTAACTTTTGTAAAATCTATATTTGGCTTTTGGTAAAATATAGATGGAAAAATAATGTGCTATGAAGAAAATACCCTTGTTTTTATAAAATATCGATTGTGAGCTTTCAGATTTAGGTAGCTAGGCAAACAAGGGATACACTGATGTTTTCTTACATATACGGTGTGAGCAAATATGGAGGTTTTCAGGAATACCACCTACAAAAATAGCAATTTTGGCCGGCAATATCAATTGCAATAGATATGCAAATACATTTGCTAACTTTCAGATTTAGGTAGCTAAGTCAGGAATCACCTTGAACCAAATGATGATTTTTTATATTTTCACTTCTCATTTATCTATCGTTCTGAACAGAATCCTTCAAGCAAACAATGTTATGGGATGGCATTCTTGTCAAATAATGCTTTGCTTGGTGCGAGTATTCATTATCAATACTAGCTAAATTATTGCGTATTGACAATGTATATAAGGAACTTTTTAACAGGTAAATGGCATAAATCACATTAAAAGGTGGGAGCAACTAAAATAAAAAAAGGGTAGCGAACTGATCCTACCAACCATCCAAATTTTATCTGCCGCATTAATTTAGGGGTCATGTCATGGGGTCAGAGAGTAATTTGATTGGATTGGGCACCGGGTGGGGTCATCCCCAATTTTGGGAGGCTTGAATTAACGGGGATGCTTTCCCAAACCCAATAATTTTATTAAAGATTGTGATACTCGTGTATCTTTAATTCAATAGTTCTATGATAGAGAATTATTACTTTTTATTTTAACATCTTTATTGCTAACATAAAAATTGTTTTCATTGTTATATAAAATAAGAATTTTATAATTCTCGTTCAACAATGAGAATTGAAATTTTCTTATACACTCTTCGATTTCTATACTGATATGAATTTTACATATAATTTTTTTAATATATAGGTTCAACATATTGTTTATCTCTACGACATAAGATTTTAATTCTCATTTAACATATAAAATAATCATTGTAGATTTCATAAAAAAAAAGTTGTAGGTGTAGATTTTACGCAGTAATTAGCCTTATAAGAAATATAAAAAAAAAATCAGTATAAAAAAGTGTAAGAAATGTTTTAATAATATTACATTAACATAGAATAGAAGTGTGGATGTAATAGAGGTGAAAAATAATAATGAAAAACATTAACCAAAAAAAAAAAAATCAGAAAAGAAGAGAAGTAATCTTATAAAAGATTCCTCCAAAAGAAATGAATTGGATTTCTAAAAAGTAGTGTAAGACTTGGACATTAGAGAGCAATGAGCAGAAAGGACAGAATGGGTGGTAGCTAATTTTCAACCACATCCCAGAAACTATGCCCTTATCACAGATAATGGGGAGGGTCACTTTTCAACCATCAACCTTCCTCTTTTTTCTTTTTAAAAGGTGTTAGGTAGATACATTAGAAGCTTCCACAAGATATTTTTATTTCTTCTTTATTATTTTACAGCTCCCATAGCGCAGCCAGCAAGTGCCTTGGGTAGCGAGTTTTGTTATTCTGATCTTGAGTTTTATAAATCCCATGTAAATGTAAAATTTTCACGTCATAGAAATAAAAAATCATATAATATTAATATATTAAAAAGAATTACATCTAAGACTTATGTTAGCACATAAATTAAATGATATGTAAAAAACTTTCTCTTCTCGTATAACATAAAAGAAAAAAATTATTCTCATGTTACATGAGGTAACTTTTTTTTTATATATCTTTCGATAACTGTGTTATTTTTTCTTTTTATTTTATTTTATTTTTTCAGATGGTGGAACTCACAAATTTATCTCTATAACATGAGATAACTTATTTTCTTTAACATGAGATTAATAAAACCTTATATAAAAATTATAAAACCCTTTAATTTATTGTTTTTTCAACCCATCAATTGGGTACTTTATTGTTTTCTCTCTACTTTCTACTCCCTCTCAATTGTTAAGGGTTTTATTCATTTAGTGATATACAAAAAAAAAAAGGGTTTTATTCATTTAGAGTTTAGTAGATTTGATTTTAAAGAAATTGATATTACAAAAATTAATTTTGAGAGATTCAATGTTTAAAAAATATTAATTTGAGTTTCAAAATTATGTTTTTTGAAAAAATAATAAAATAAATTCAACTCAATAAAAAAGTTAAAAGAACATACTTATCTCAAAATTAATTTTACTTATCATAAAATTAATTTTTAAAAAATCACCCAAACATTCACAATATTGACCAATCACATTTTTGTTGACACAAATATGATTTTATGACTACCCAACAGGCTATTAAATTGGTTCAACATCCACCTACATCACATGCATGACTTGTAGTGGGTCCTTTTGGATTCATCTCTAGATCCTCACCTCACCGCATGAAGATGGCCTTGGAGATTACAAAATAATAGACACAGATGCCTTTCATAAGCCAATGCTTGGTGGAAGTACTTTTATGTTATCCAACGCCCCTTTGGGATATACATGTGTGTGCATATTAATAAGGATCGATCACATAATGTTGATAGTACCTAACCCAACTTGATAAATGGCAAACACACATGTGTACATTTTATGGCATTTCTCTGGGGTCCCTTATAGGTACAGATGGTTCAAATATCGACCTTCCTCTTACCTGCGGCTAAACTGATGCTTGCTAATTATTGCTAATATGATAGGTTATTTATTTATTTTTATTTATTTTTCTGTCTACCACTTCCAAATATCGTTATATCATAATCTAAAGAGAAGAGAGAATGATAAATATTAATTAAGATTATGATCTAACAATATTTGAGAGTGGTAGACAAAGATAAACAAAATTTTTTTTGTTAAAATAATCTATCCCGTTGCTAATTATTAACGGTTCAGTAGGTAGAACATTTTTCAGTGAACGCAATAATTTGCGATGAAATCCCAAATTAAAAAACATTTTCTATTGTATTTCCTGTATTGATGAAAGAAATTAAAACGTACTTTCACACAAATAAGATTGCCAAACACACAATGAATTACATTTTCTTTGTTTGATATGGGCTTTTTTTATTTGTTCCATACTGTCAAGTTTGCTGGAATTTAGATTTTATTAGGCTAAGGACACGAGTCCTTGAATTACCAACAAGATTAGTGAACATATTGATCTACGAGCATAGGGAAAATGGAATATACAGTAATAAAACTAAGCTCTTGCAACTTAAATTAAACCAGTTAATTAAGCAAAAAGTAAACACTCCAAAAATATAAGTAAAATCATTTATCACTCTAGTTTTTGAAAATAGTTAATATTAATTTAATTTCCTAATCATGAAAAATTTAATTTAGTCCATTAGTCATGTAAAGTTAATATAAATTTTGTCTTACAAACTTGTGGACTGTGGTCCATACATAAAGGACAATTTGAATATGGAAGAGCTGAAAAAATCAATATTCAAATCCTTTAAAAGAGAAAAGTGATAGCACTTATATATTTGAATAATAATGTTAGTAAACAACTATCACACGTATAGGGGCAAAAATTTTATA